ATTCCCAGACTCCACTCTCTGAGATTTTTTTTTTTTTTTCTTTTGAGACAGGGTTTCTCTGTGGCTTTGGAGGTCTCATCAACACACAGCGAGTGTATGGCAGGACCACTATCAGACACACACCTACTCCAACCGTCTTGGAGGTTTCCATTTAGCCATTTCCTGACGTCCAAATCTCTGTGGCAGTTTTCAGGTAATTTTCTCATTTGCTTACTGGACACACTGTATCACTACATTGCCCAGGCTGGTTCCAAATTTCTAAGTGAAATGGTTCTCCAGTTTCAGCATCCTGAAGGGCTGGGACTGTGGTAATGCCTCACAAAACCCACTGAAGATGGCGTTAAAGGCTTTCTCAAATTGCTTGAGGTTCTTCCTTCACGAAGTTAATTTCTTGCCTCTTCTCTGGCTGTGTCACTTCTGATGCTAGGTGATAAAATGCCTGGCTTCTGCTTCAGGCTCTCTCGGATCTCTTCCTGAGAGAAGCCAGACATATTGAGAGCATTTGAGCAGCCCTATTGATATACCCACTGTTGGGGACTGAGAGGCTGCTAGCAGCCAGCAGGAATTTGTCAAGCATCTAAGGGAACTTGGAAGGGGACCATCCTAGGAGATATGTTACCATCAGGTTCCTGGCCTAGCGAGTAACTGATAAATGTTCTTGTAGACTGCTTAGGTTTAGATGAACTTTCATTGCAGTCACATGTGCTTAATGTTGCTGTAACCCTCAGCGTCTCTGTCCAAACCATTCCTTCACTGAGCCTACCCTGCAAGGTGAGCTAGCACCCCAGCAGCCCAGAGCCATGCATGAGAACACAGTCTAGCGTCCTGTTTCACAGTGAGAGCCCGGTACCCAAGCATGACCTGTGGCCAAAATGATGCTTTCCCGAGCCAGGCATCCAGAGAGCTGCGGGGATGCCTCTACCCAGCGATTACTGGACTCCAGTTCTGATGCGTCGTGGGTGCTCACACAGCATGGCCCTGTATGAAAATTCTCCAGAACAATTCTCTGGCACCTTTGACTTTTGCTTCAGGCATTAAATTTGGTGTGTCCCTCCTCTCCCCTTGTTCCAGTCTGTTTCCACTCTACTGGCCCTCTATGCAAAGACAAAACTCACCTTCAGCTAGAGTTGCTCAGGAATACGAAAACACATCCATGTGTGCCGGTTTCTCCTGCTCCTGACCCAACCTCCCTCTCCTGCAAACCCCTCTGACTATTTTTGCTTATTTCTTCAGACCAATTTATCCTGATTTCTGGCATTTTACACTCCAATAATGCCTGGCTTGGGAAAGCATCATTTTGGCCACAGGTCATGCTTGGGTACCGGGCTCTCACTGTGAAACAGGACGCTAGACTGTGCTCTCATGAATGGCTCTGGGCTGCTGGGGTGCTAGCTCACCTTGCAGGGTAGGCTCAGTTAAGGAATGGTTTGGACAGAGAAGGCCAGGGTTACAGCAATGTTAACTCCCCTTTGCCTCCCCATAGACAACCCCTCCCCCTTTCAGATCCCCTCACCACCCGACACATGCAGTCCTCTGCAGGAACTGCTGCAGTGTGGCTTGTCCCCTGAAGGAAATCTTAGGAAGTATCCCTCCCCATAATTATAAGCAGAATGACCATAGATGCATAATCTCGGTCAAAAAATTCTGCTCTGGTTGGTTTGCCAATAGTGCCTACAGTAATAATGTCCGACTCTTCTTTTCTTTTTGACAACATTGTTTTTAGTTAAATTTCTTCAGTTTGAAGTTAAGATCGATGAAGGCCTTAGTTTACTTAGTCAATACCCCAGGTTGAGTCTAAAGGAACACCGATGTATCTACCTGAGTCAAGTGCTTCGTGCTTTTTTTTTTCCCCCGGTGCCGAAGTGGATACCAAGTTGACTCAATTCCTAAGGGTTTTCTCCCCGCATGTTTTTGCCTGGCCTGAAATGAGACTCCTGTTCCAAAACAGAGCGATTAAGTGCAGACGCCTGTTTTGACAGGATGTCTTTAGCTAGTGCAGGCAAGAGCACTCTCCCCGTGTTAAGAGTTGAAAGGTCTTAATCAGAAAGAAAAGGCAAGGACTTGTCTTGTGGCACAGGTGCCACGTGTTGTTAGGAGGTGCAATCCATGAGTTTGTGAAGTATCGTAACTTTGCCCAAACTCCATTTCCTGACTCTACAAATGCACAAGTTCAAAGACAAAAGCCTCTAAGGCTAGGCCTGGGCGAGCACCGTGCCTGCCAAAGGTAGTTCTCATCTGTCCCCTTAAAACTGCTTTCCTCTGTCCCCAACCTTCACACACTGTCTTCACCTCCAACAGACAACCCATGTTTTTCATAGGGCTCCTTATTATTGATCTGATGACTGTAAACGCACCGGTTTACATTTTAGGCTACTAGGCCTCCCTCCTTTTACTAAGAGACAAAGGAGAAGGCCACTAACGATGTTTACCCACCTAGGCTCATGTTTGTCTAATGTTTAAACGGGGTTTTGTTATCATTAGACATTCCTGAACAACCGTTCTCAGAACATCAAGCACACAGAGCAAGGAACCAAGAGATGCCGGTCCGCGGTGGGGGAGGGGAGCAGAAGGGCTGCCGCCCGTGCCTCCCTGCTGCTTAGCACCACCTAGTGACAGATTCTAGTGCGACTTTTGGAACGGAAGCTTCCAGTGGCCCTAAGAAAAAGCCAAAGGCTGTTTCCTGGCAGATGACCTACAGCCTCACACCTTTCGCCTTGAGTGTACTATACACGTGCACATTTTGAATTATACACAACAAACCTCTCACCTTGTTTAATAATTCCTCCCTTTGTCTATGCCGAGATATTTTACCCCTTAACCCTTGCACCTGTTTGGGCAGGGAGGGCAGAGGATTTTTAAGATCATCAAAGCAAGCAGTACTAGGAAATGCTCGCAGAGAACATGCCTAGTTATATGTAAAACAGCAACAACAACAAAATGTTATTTGCGGTGTGAGATAGCTCAGTGGGTAAAGATGCTTGGCACCAAGCCAGACAACTGGAATTGGGTTTCTAGGATCCACATGATGGAATAAGAGAACTGAGCTGTCCACAAGTTGTCCTCTGACCCCCCCCCTCGCCACCCTCCCACACACACACAGAGGCAAAAAAAGTGTTTTTAAAGAATCCTTGCTAATTTATTATGGCTCTTTAAAGTCTTTCAAATACATTAGCATATTCATATCTTTTGATAATAGAAAATTAAAACCCCAGGAACTGGAGAAATAGCTCAGCAGTTAAGACAGTTGCTGCTCTTGCAGAGGACGGGAGTTCAGTTCCCAGCACCCACACCAGGCAGCTTAGAGCCCCTTGTATCTACAGCTCCAGAGGATTCACCACCTTCTTCTGGCCACTGTGGGCACCTGCAGTCACACACTTGAACACACACACACACACACACACACACACACACACACATACACACACACTAAGTAAATAAACATTTTAAAGAAAAATTTAAGCCCTGTAACATTTCAAAAAATATACTGAAGAAACTCTAACCCACGACTGGAGTTAAGTATGGACTCCATCTCTCCATCTCCTATACAAAGCCCTCGGGATCAGTTCTGTCTCATGGATCTATTGGCAGCCACCAAACAACGATCCTGCCCTCCTTACACTCTTGTTTCTTTTCTCATAGCTTTTCTTCCTTCCATTCATTCGGAGGACTTCTTCCTTCTTACAGCAGCGTGCTACACCGCATTTCCTCGCGTTACTCTTCTTTCAAATGTGTAGTTGATGAGCATGGGACTCAACTCAGGAAAAGAATGGGACAATCTGTGACTCGTTTATGCACATATTCATTTTAATATTTCTCTGTGTGTTTGTGTGTGTGTGTGTGTGTGTGAGAGAGAGAGAGAGAGAGAGAGAGAGAAAGAGAGAGAGAGAGAGTGTGTTAACAGATGGGATTCACTACATCACTTTGCCATGTTTCACTTTATCCTGAGCTTTCAGAAAACTGAAAACGAATCTTAGTTAACACAAATCACCTTTGGTTTGGTTACGGGGTGTGAATAAAGATAGAGGTTTAGAGAAGGCACAATGAAGACTCCCTTCTACAAGTACAAGAACCCAGACGGGTACCATGGGACAAACTCTTCCAACATTGCTGACACTTTCACTTCATGACTATGATATACAAGCAGCTACCCTTTTGAAACCAAAAACAGATAAATACAAACTGGACAGTCTTTTTATTTAGCCAGATACTGGCAGGTGGTCAGAGCTGAGAAGAGAGCTAACTCTTTATTATCCAGAACATTCTAATCCAGTTCTAGGATGGCAAGAAGCTCCTGGGAGTCAACACTAGTTCTATGTGGCTGCTTACAGCCTAGATCCTGGTCAAGCACACAGTTAACACAGAACGGTCATGACAGTGACCCTACTTCCCAGGGTCAGATTCCATCCTATGGAGTCTGGTGTGCACATCACTCAAGAGCCCTGGAGATCAAGATGCAAAGCCAGCCACAGCCATAGAAGCAGGCAATAGTGATACACCCTTTTAACCCCAGCAGCCACACTAGCTAGCTATGGAGGCCAGGCGGTCGTGGTACACACTTTTAATCCCAGGACTCAGGAGACAGATGCAGATGGATCTCTGTTCCAGGCCACACTGACCTTCACGAAATAGATCAGTCTGAAAGAGAAACTGCTCACACAATGGTAATCTCAGCACTTGGGGAGTGCCTTTAATTCCAGCGCTAGGGAGGTGGAGATAGGAGGATATGGCTGGAGAGAAAGGAATACAAGGTGGGAGGAGACAGGAGCCCAGGGATTGCAGTCTGAGACTTGGGAGCAGTGCAGTCTGCATTGCACCCAGGATTCCTGGGGCCAGGATCACCATTTCAGCCTGAAGTAGAGGTAAGAGCTGGCAGCTTGGCTGCTTTGCTTTTCTGATCTTCAGCTTGAACGCCAATATTTGTCACTGGGTTTTTATTATTCATGTTACAGAAGGTGGTTTTTTTGTAGGCAGCAAAAAGAGGAAGTTCAGAATTTGGGACATGTAACTGGGTGACCTTGATGACAACCTCCTGGCACCACAGTTAAGTAATGACCAAGACACGGAGTTGCTCCAGGGCCACAGAGAAGCTAAACATGACAGCACATTTACCATAATGTTCATTGGTTTGTGTTGGTTTGCCTCTCTTATGAATTACTTTTCTTCAAGTATTGGTGGCAGCACTAAAACAAACACAAAACAAATGAAATGTTAGAAATCCCTGTGATGCAGAGGCCTGAAGCCATGAGACTGCACACACATGACCAACACCTGATGGAAGTCATGAGCCTGCACACATATGACTACCAAACATCTCATGTGCTTCATTAAAAGAGACGTCTTCATTTTAAACCAGTCTCACTGCCTCAAAACCCAAGGTTTAGATAATTATGTGATTATGCCGCCAATCTCTGGAAAACATGATACCCTGGAGCTGGAGTCACAGTTGTAAGCCACCATGTAGGTGCTGGGAAGCAAAAGCAGCCAGTGCTCTTAATCGCAGAGCCGCCTCCCCAGCATCCTACTCCAAGTCTCTTCTAGAGGCTCAGACTGTGCTGCAGCAGCCACTGTTCAGCTCTGCCTC